TCCCTTGTCCTTCCTTCCAGGCCCTTGTGCCAAGGCTCTCTCCAGCTCTCCTGATGCCCCTTTAGGCACTGGAAGGGGCTCTAAGTTTCTCCCCAAAGCCTTCCTTTTTCCAGGCTGGATAGCTCCAATTTCAGCAGGTTCCTTTCTCTCTGAATTTTCAGATACCTCTGGCCCCCTGGGCAGACCCGCAGTCCTCTGTCAGTGCCAGGGCTGGGCACAGACCGAGAAACCTCAAAAGTCCCTTTATACAGCAAAACCAGCAGCTGAGTTGCCCAGATGTGGAGATGGTTTCCTTATCAAAGAGCTCCTTGTGGAGTGACAGGATCTTTTCCATGGATCAATGTGCCTCCCAAGGCTGCTCTCAGAGCAGCACACACGGCATCACCTTTCACTGAACTGGTGCTGCCCTGCTGCATCCTTGGGCACCAGGGGCTCCACCAGGCACAGCAGGGTTCAGTTGAATCCCACACCATGGCCTCCAGGCTGTGCTCCATGAGGATCCACACACGGGGGATCCAGCCCCCACTGCATTCCCCACACATGCCCTCAGCAGGGCAGGGCTGGGCAGGGCTGACACCATCCTACTGCATGGCATTGGCTTCCCTTTCATGTCACCAGTCCCAACATTAGAATTAGGCAGGAAATCGTGGTCTGATGGACACCTCCATGCAGTTCTGCTCGTGGCTGACAGGTCCATTTCAGGGCTGGAGAAGCTCCTGCATCCAGACACACTCCCTGCAGGAAAAGTGCCTTGGGTGGGAAGTGCCCTGGGAGCTGCAGCTTTGCACCCACTGCCCAGATCTTGAGAGGTCCAGCTGAGCTGGGCCCTGATGGGCTCCCACCACAGCTGAACCACTGCTGGGACACTGCAGACGGTTTGGGAATACCCCACACTTGTCCAGGTCTCATTGCCTGCAGTGCCAATGGTAGCACTTCCAGTTGGAGCCTTTGGGGTGACTGAGCCAGGCAATGTGAGCTTCAGTGTCCCCCTCCAGCCTCCAGAGAACCCCTGTCCTGTGCAGGAAAGAGAGCCCAGCTCTGAGGGTTCACACCAGGACCCCCAGCCAGAGGGGCACAGGGAAGGCACCCGCACCCCCATGGCATTCATGCCCAAGGAACAGAGAACAAGGACTTGGAATCTGGTAGCAGTAGAGCTTCCCCCCTTGGGAGCTTCATCCCTGCACATGGAGGCCTCCAGGGAAGGAATGGCAGCCAGTGCAGATCCAGGGCCAAGGGTCAGAAAGAGGCTCCATCGTGTCCCCATCTTGTCCCCTGCCCATCCTGTCTGGGTGTGCTGGAGAAGGAGATCCATTTCCTATCACTGCCCATGAGCAAAGCGAGCAGGCCTGACCCTGCAGAGGGGGTGCTCCCTCCCAGCAAGCCATGGAGCAATCCAAGACCCCACTGGGCTCCCATTCTTCCTCCCCAGGATGGCCACATCCCAAACCAGCTTCCTTCAGCACAAAGCATCTCTCCCTAGCTAGACATTTCCAGTGTGGGTGTTACAAGACACTGGGGCTAGGATCAGCTCCTTAAGGAACAGACAGTGCTGTACAATCAGTGCCAAATTCATCCCTCTCATGTGGCCTAAGCAGCTGCCCCAGACTGTTCAGGGGCCCTGCTGGGACCAGTGGTATTTAATGTCTTAACCAATGCCACAGGAAGGGATCCCACAGCAGGTTTGCAGCTGCCAGGGCACCCTCAAGTTTACGGCTTTTCCTGCCCAAATCTCCTCAGCCAGGAAAGAAGAGCTGCAGGTAAGTGATGCCAATGGCAGCTCTTAAACGAGGCTCACGGAGGCTCAAGTGTCTCCAGGCTCTAAAGGAGCTGACTTGCAGAGCCTCCCGCACGAAAAAACCCTCTGAGGAAGACCCAGGGAGCTCCGCAGTCCTCCAGCACCACTCCCTGGAGAGGGAGGGATGGGACGGGCTGTGCAGCCAGGGAGGAGCTGCTCCAGAGGCTGCGCTCCCTGCTGAGCCCTGCGAGGTCCAGAGGCACCCGGATCCCCTCCTGCAGCACCTGCATCCAGGAGATGGTGCAAAACTCGGCTGCCTTTGCTGCCCGGGGTCAATCCACACCCGTCTCGCTCTGCCAGGAGCTTGGGCCAGTGTCAGAAGGAGACACCAGAACACGGCAGCCAGTGAGAAAAGGGTCCTGTCCACCTTGTCCCACCCTCAGCAGTGCCCAGGCCATGCTGTGTGTGCTCTGAGCTGTACCCACACCTCCCAATCCCTTCTCTGGGAGAGCAGGATGGCAGGACAGGTGCCACCTTCTGCAGCCAAGTGTGGCAGATGAAGCCCCTCAGCAGCTGCCAAGGCAGAATGTTCCCGTGTCCACCCCAAACCCATTATCCCACCCCTGCCATGAAGCCAGGCACCACTGCCTGGGATGTGCTGCTGGAGAGGAGCTGGTCCCAGCCATGTGCTAGTCCTGCTCAAAGGGGGGTTCTCCGCTGTGTGCAGGGACACACCTGCACGGACCCTCACCCCATTGCCCTGGGATGTGGAGCTGCCCTGCTGTGACTCTCCTGCCTTCTCCCCACACCTGACTGCTTGTCCTAGGGTGACATGATGGTGTTTGTATCCCCAGTCGTGTGTTCTGTTTATGTTTGATATCATGTTCTGTGCTTTCAGAACTGACTCAGAAAGTGAAGGTTTGTTTTGTCTTATCAGCCAGCTCACCTCCCCCATGGTCTGCTGTCTAGAAAAGGCTGGTGCTGGCTGGTTTCCTTGCTTTGCTTGCTCTTGCTTCTGCTTTTGCCTTTGCTTGTTAGTTAGTTTAGCTAAGCAGTCCAATTTTTTTTCCATGGACTGTTGTTTTATTTTTTTTTTTCCCTTTCCCTTTCCTGAATATCACTCCAACCTGCTCCAGACTGGGACTTGGGAAACCCCGAGGAGCACCCAGAGCCTGCACTCTGTGATCTGCAGCAGCCATCCCCAGTGCCCAGAGCAGTCCCCAGCGCCCAGACCCAGGCGACCACCCCCAGGAGAGACTTTCTGAATTTGTCATTCTTCAGAGTGGTGAAAGTTTTTTGTCATCTGGTGGTTTTTTTTTTTTCTTTTTTTGGTGCTGTGGAGTGTTTTGTTTGTCAAACAAACAGGTTCTTTTCCACTTCTCTCCGTGGAAATTCTTCCTGAACCAGGTTGGGGGGGAGGGGTCGCGGGGGTTTGTTTTCTGGGGGCTCCTTCCAGAGGGTTTTCTCCCAAATTTGCCCTAAACTAGGACACTGGTTTACAAACTCCAGGCTGGAAAATTAAGCTGCCGGTGTTGGAGGAGGACAGCGGGAACCTGGGAAAGGCCTGACCTCTCTGGGTGAGGAATGAATCCACCCATGGGTGGGGAAAATCCTACCTCTGCTCCCCTCTGCATTGGGCAAAAACTTCACCCTTTTTCCTCAGCAAAGGGGGGAATGTCCGCTTCCCCCCAGGCTGGACCCACTGCCCAGGACCAGGAGCCATCCCCAAGATTTATCCACAAACTGGGTGTGCAGTGGGTCCTGGAGAAATGTGCTGGAACCGAAGCCAAGGAGCTGTGCCGGTGCCCGGGGGATGCTACCACCCGCCGCGTCCCAGTGTAGCGCCCGCGGAACACGGGCTCCTCGCTGCTCCCCCCGGAAGAAATCCCGGCTCCACGATGAATTCCAGGAGATCCCGAGGGTGCTCCGGCCACTCCAGTGGCAACGCGGAGCTCTGGGGGAGCTCGGACCGCTCCTGAAGCTGGGAGAGGCCGCAGCAGCCCCGGGAGAACGCCCCGAGGTGCGGCACCAGCCCCGCGGGCACTCGGGGCCGGTGGGGGAACGGCGAGGGTGGTATCCCTGCCCAGGGGACGCCCCGTGCCCCACGACACGGCTGTCCCAGGCATTCCCGGCCGTGCTGGGCATGCCCGGCCCGGGACGCTCCCCCCGCGGGCACGGAGCTCCTCTCGCTGCCGCTCCAGGCCCGAACGCCACCTGTTTTTCCTTCTCTTTACTGTTACTTTCCTGCCCTCTCACCCCTCCCTCATCCCGCGCTGCCACCGCTCCCTCAGACACCGACCGCTGCCCGCGCCTCTCCCGAGGCCAGAGCAGCGCTCGCATCCGAGCAGCCTCGGGCAGAGCCTCGGGACACTGCGGAGGAACAGACCCAGAGCCTCGGGACACTGCGGAGGAACAGACCCATTGGCTGGGGGACGCTGCAGAGGCACAGACCCAGCACTCGGGGCTCGCCGCTCCCCAGGTCTGCGAGAGGCAGAGGAGCCGAGGAGACCACTCGGCCTGGTCGTGGGCGCTGCCATCTTGGCTCTGGGCGGAGCGGGCCGCCATTGGCTGGGTCGGGGAGGGCCCTGAGGATCGACCAATCACTGACGGCATTGGCGTGACGGACGTGCGGGGGCGGGACCTGCTAGGGGGCGGGAGAGACCATCTGCGGGCCGTGGCGGGGGCGCTGGGCCAGGAGAGACCATCTGCGGGCCGTGGCGGGGGCGCTGGGCCAGGCGAGACCACTGCGCGTGCGCGGTGCGCCGGGGGAAGCCCCGAATCCGTCCCGGTGCGCCCCGGCCATGGGCAGTGACACCGGCCGTGTTCCAGCGGGCTCCCAGCCCCGTCCAGCCCGGCACAAAGATCGGATCGCAGAGATCAGCCCTCCCACCCTGGAGGAGATTCCCGGCCGCGGATCCGCCTTCGGCTGGGATCGGAGCTCACGGGGCAAAGCACAGCAGCGGATTTGCTGGAATCGCTGCAGACATCTCAGCAGGACTTGCAGGAATCTCCTGCTCCTGCTGTGCCAGGGCTTGCCCTCAGCTCCAGTTCCAGTTTCCATCAATCCTGGTTCTTGTGTTTATCAATCAGTAAGCGAATATGCCCTGCGGGTGATGTCCCCCTGCCTCCAGCCCCACAGGAGGAGGTGCTGCAGGAGCAATTCCATGAGGGATGACCATGTGCAGCAATCGGATGTGAAACTGCAGCAGGCAGGGATCCCGAAACTGACTGGGATTCCTTCTCCAGAATAAAGAAGGACTCGGGGTAGATTTCACTGAATTGTGGTTTAATTTCATTATCTACTGCTGCTACATCTGTAGCAATGTACATCTGTTCATTGTACAAAATGTAATCCCAAGAACATTCCAGCCCCACAGCTGTGTTTGGCTCTGCTCTCTCCTGTCATGAGGTACCCTCGGTGCTCTGGCTGTGACACCCTCCTACAGCCACCAGAACATTTTGCTGTCCAGGCCCAGTGATGGGAACCCCTGGCCATGGCAGGAGGTCCCTGGGGATCCCTCGTATGTCTGGTCAGACAAGAAGGATTTTTCACCTCTTTCTGCTCAAGGCAAAGACTACCAGCAGTGCCGTAACCAGGGGAGTTGGGATGCACAGGTGATGCTGGGGGTGATTCAGGACTGACACAGCCTTGGTACAGCACATGCTGGGGATTTTTGGAGTTGCTCTGCTCACACAGTGGTTGTAGACTGCCAATCCTTCCCATTAGTGCATTTGCACTGGGAGCTTCACCTACCCCATGCCTGGCTGGTCTGAGGTTTCCTCTCCTGCCCAGACAAAATGAGCAGGCAGATGATCTTTTAAATTTAGGGGTTAGGGAAGATAATCTACTTAGCAGTAGGTATGTTAGATACTGGTAGTAGAACATATGCAGAACTGCTTTTGCCAGATTTGGGAAACCCGCAGAGAATCACATGGAATCCAAAGTGATTGTTTTGGCTTGAAAAAGCATATGTGAAAGGATCAGAGATCCCTGATATTAGATATGTCATGTCCAGAAAGGTCCCTGTGGCAGGTGAGTGGTGTGGCAGGATGGTCTCTCCCACCTGTGTTCTCCATGGAAATTTTTGTTTTGGCCAATTATTTTTCCTTTCATCTTCTGTGCTCCTGAAGCTTCTAAGCTGTGTTTTAAAGGTCTCATAGAAAGCCTGATCATTAAAAAAAACCAAAAACAAAACAGTGCTCTTAAAACTTTTTTTCCCCCAGTATTGATGGCAATGCAGCACCATGTTCAACATGCAATTACTGGATCTGAAAAATAACACCCTTAGACTGTGACGAACATCTGACAATAAATGCACAGCCTTCATATGGACGAGTCCTCACCAAAACCTTCACATCCTCAGAGCCGTACAGGGATACTCAGCAGGGCCACGCTACAGGGAGGAGTCTGAAAGTGAGAATAAGAGAGAAGTAGCTCAGGGTTGTACTGAGGGAGATCAGAAATAGCCTGAAAAGCTCCCTGGGAAGGGGAGCTGAAATGTTACAGGGCCTAAAAGTCTGCAAGAGGGGGACGGGGTTTAACTGACCTATTTTGCCACTCCTGTAATCCCAGCAAGGTGTTTTGCATTTAAAGGAAAATATTTGACTCCAAGAAAAGGGTATTTCACTGAGTACAGTCACCAATAATATTTATCCATAAGTATATCCAAGAGTCTATCCCCAACCTATTCCACTGCCCTTCCATCCACATGAGGATCCCAATGCCTCTGACCATGTCCCCCTCTTTTCTCCCTTTGTGTTGGCTTTGGCCAAACATCAGCTGTTCTCTCAATGCTCCCCTCACATTTGCCAGGGTCTTTATTCTGCAGCTGCTGCACTCGAGAAAAATCTAACCTTGGTATTATCCTACCTAATGAAGATGGGATTGTTCCTTCTAAAAAATTTGCTCAAGCTCAGCCAAAACCTCTGGGTCATGTAGAAATCAAGTGGTCTTTCCCATCTATCTTTGCTTCTGGTTCTGTTTGGTACTTGATCATGAGTACCATGATTAGGAATTTAGTTAAACAGCCCAAATGTACCACTGCTTTGTCAGCAGGTGGAGCTGGCTGGGGACCATTTTTGATGCCCTGGGCAGCAGTGACACCCCTGGATCTGCCAGGGAAGCAGCACTGGAGAGTTACCTTTGATGGCAAGGAAGGCTTTGCTGAAGGCACGGCCCACTTCATTGCTGGCTTCCACCATGTACTCCCCCTCATCCTGCTTGGTGACCCCCAGCACCACCAGGGAGCACACTCCAAAGTCATTGGTGCAGAAGTAGTTGGGATCTCTGGAGAGGTCTCTGCTGTCCTTGTACCATGTGATTTTTGGTGGGGGATGGCCTCCAACAGCACAGCTCATGTGACACTCGCTGCCCATCACCACCACGTGTGACTTAAGTGGCACCAGGAACCTCGGGTGCTGGTTCTGGTTGACTCCTCTGTATTTCTGTGCTTTCACGTGAAATTCAGCTGTGAAAAATAAACAGCAGCAAACACACACTCAGATACTGCTCCCAGCACTGCAATGTTTGAAGAGGTTTGTTTGTGCAGTGTCTGGAATTATGCAAATTATCAGAGATGCCATGCACCTATGGATCGTAGCCTCTGCTGTTCCTCAGAATTACTCAACATTTAACTTTGAAGCCAGAAACTTTGGTTTCTACAATACGAAAGTGTTAGATCTTGCTGGGAATTCATATTGAGGCAAATTGCATGTCATCATGGCTGGGAATGAAGGGTCTGTCTACACAATGTCCCTGCAGAAAGAACAAACCTTCCCTGCCCAGCTGGAATTCCTTAGGACATCTCTGTACATTCCTGTTCTGGGCCAGTGAATATTCACAGCAGGAGAGACCCATTTGAGGGTGAGGTGTTAGAAGCAATGAAAGAAACAAAACACAACACAGAGAAATACTTGAAAATGTTTTACCCTTTTTTTTCCAGATCCTCCAGGGCTGCACAGTCTCTGATGGATCACTGGCTCCCAGATCATTTTTTGCCACAACCCTGAAGTAATAATCCCTTCCTGGGACCACCCTGGTGAAGGTGAACTTGTTGTTGTAGATCAGATCTCCCAGCACATGCCACAGGCCCTTCTGGGATTCCCGTTTCAGGACAGTGTAATACAGGTTGTTCTCCCACTGCTCAGATGCTGAGGGGTCCCAGGTCACTGTCACCGTGTTGGGCACATTCTCCTCCAGCCGGATGGCTCCAGGGGGCTGAGGAATATCTGCCAGGGGAGGGCACACAATGTCACAGCTGTAGGGACAGTGGCACAGAACCCTAAAATCCTGGAGTCTGTTGCATGTATGGGGCTCAATGCCCATCCTGGTCCCTGGTGCCATTCCTTCTCCAGGCACACAAATGCATTTGCTCTGGAACTGAGCTGCTGCTGCACAACATCTGCACTGGCTGAGTGGTGAGAGGAGAGTGGTACAGCTAGCTGCTTCCCTTGCTGGGGTCACAGCTGGGAGAGCTGTGCTCAGGGTGCTACAGCCTGTGCTGACCTCCCTCATTCACTGTGGAAGGATACTTTTAGTCAGTGGATTGCTCTGTCCTGCAGACAAGTGAGATCATAAAGTGCCTGGACAATCTCATAGAAAACTGTACCCTGGTTCTCCCTGTTCTTGCACAGACAAACTGCATCAGAGCTCACCCTGCCAAACTCAGTTTGTGGCCTTCTGCCTACTCACAGTAAATCATGGAATCCCAGACTGGTTTGGGTGGGAAGGACCTAAAAGCCCATCCAGTCCCACCCCCTGCCATGGACAGGGACACCTTCCACTATCCCAGGTTGCTCCAAGTCCTGTCCTACCTGGCCTTGAACACTTCCAGGGATCCAGGGGCAACCACAGCTTCTTTGGGCAACCTGTACCACCCTCACAGGGAGGAGTTCCAATATCCCATCTAACCCTGCCCTCTGGCAGTGAAAAGCCATTCCCCCTTTGTCCTGTTCCTCCAGGCTCTTGTCCCAAGTCCCTCTCCAGCTCCCTTGGAACCCCTTTAGGCACTGGAGGGAACTCTAAGATCTCCCCAGAGCCTTCTCTTCTCTATGTGAACACCCCCAGCTCTCCCAGCCTGGTTCCAGAGCAAAGGGGCTCCAGCCCTTGGAGCATCTCTGTGGCCTTCCCTGGAATTGCTCCAGCAGCTCAACATCCTTCTGTTGCTGGGGCCCCCCGGGGCTGGAGGCAGCTCTGCAGGTGGGGTACCACCTGAGAGGGCAGAGGGGCAGAATCCTCCCCTCCCCTGCTGCCCATGCTGGGGGATCAGCCCAGGGCATGTCCAGCTCTCATCCACCAGCACCCCCACATCCTTCTCCCAGGGCTTCTCTCAGTCCCTTCATGCCCCAGCCTGGATTGGCTGGGAGTTGCTGGTAGATTTGTATGGATGGCAGTGAGTTACCTGTAATTTGAACCTGGAAGCTGAAGGTTTCCCTTTTCCCCAGCCCATCCCCAAGCTCCACAGTGTAGGTGCCGCTGTCACTGAGCTCGGCTGCCCTGAGCAGCAGCTGGCTGCTCCCATCCTCGGTGCTCACGGCAGCCCGGCTGGGAAGGGGGAGCCCATCCTTTAACCAGGTTACCACCGGCTCGGGAGATCCCTGGAAACAACAACGACTCACAGCCACTTGTTTCATCTCCAACCTGTCCTGTATCTTTAGTTTCATTATCTTACCCCGAATATGCACCTCCACAACATAGTAATGTTTAGAAACATAATGGATCTGAGAGCCCTGATCTGTTCTACAGTTTCTTTACAATTTTTATTCCTTTTTGTCCTTTAAGGATGTAATTGCAGTAAAGTGTTCAGAACTGTGTCAAACAACCTATGCCAGATCAAGGACAGATAACTTTGGGAGATAGTATTTTCTGCTTTTAAAAAAAATCTGTTGGTTTTGGAAAAAAAAAAAAAAAAACATTATCTAAGTCTTTATTTCATTGTGCCATCTTTGGTCTCTTCTCCCAGAGATTAGGAGAAAGGCCAGCAAATACACAGACTTCATCACCCTCCTCTGGTATCATAGACTTCACAAGATCATGGAATCATTTATGTCTGAAAAAGACCTCCAAGACCATCGAGTCCAACCCATGTCCTATCCCCACCTTAAAAGCACTTTTACACTTTTTACATAGAAGATGCTCCTTGGACACCTCCAAGGATGGGGACTCCAAATCTCCCTGGGCAGCCCCTTCCAAAGCCTGACCACACTTCCCATGTGGAAAAACCTGTGTTGTTCCAAGTTTACTCCACAGCTCTGAGATTTCTGTCAGTGCCTGACAAGTTCTCAAGTCACAGAGCTCAAGTGCTGCTGCTCGGTGAGATAAGCCCAGTGAAGGTGTTGCTGGAAATGGTGCCCCAAGGCCTTCTGAGGGAGTCACAGGGAAATCCCTGATTTGGGAAGTCTGACAGAGCAGTAGCAGATGATAACATTGCTAAGGCTAAGTGGACAGCACTGAGCCTTGTCTGCAGAGGTTAAGGAATGACCACAATGTCATAAAACACCAATGCCAAGACTGACAGCTGAATTCTGGCTTGTGCTTTCCTCACCCTGAAAGTCTACACAGTACAGGCAGGCCAAATTATTTTCCCAGTGACTTGCAAATAAAATTCCATGACATAAAAACAGTAGTTCAGTTTTCCTGCCTGCTATAAAACCAGGCAGGGAATTCCTCCAAAGCCCTGAATACCCACCTCAAAGGGAATCTTCACCCGGATGGGATTTCCTGCTTTTATAACCAGGAAGCTTTTCACTGTGTCATCTATCAGTAACCTGGGAGAGACTGGAAGAGACAAAGATTACTTTCAGAAGGTGGATATTGGTGTAATCACTGGTGACAATCAGTGTTCTACCCACTGGTGCCTCTCCCAACTAGGTGAGGTTGGTGAGGGACTCACAGTGGGAAAAATCTCCCTGGTTCAGTCCCAGACTTTACACAAGTCAAATTTCATTAAAAAAAACCCCAATTTTTTAAAAAAAATAATTTCAAATTTCATTACTATTTATTTATCACCATGACTAAACAAGGGAAAATGATGTAAAAATACATTCACAACAATTGATGTCTCAGTCACAGAGAAATTGGCTCTTTGCCACACTTTATCCCATTCCAGGGATCATCTTTTCTGTTTAAATGGTGTCTGGAAAAAGAAAATTCCAATGGACACTTATAAAATATATATGCAGTAAAGAGCACAGAAAATCCACATGAAAGCTGCCAGAGTTTATCTAAAATAGTATTTTTTAGCATTTAAAGTATTTTCTCTTTTCATCCATATACTGCAGCAGTCAGTATTTACCTAAGAATACCAAATACAGTAATGCTAAATTGTATTTAGTGTTTCAGTATAAAACTGAACACCTGCTTTAGATGGATTTATCTGATTTTATTTATTTTAGTTTTTTTATTGATAAATGGGGTCTCCAGGCATATGCCAAAGTAGACATTTTCACTTGGGATCCAAGTTAAGGAAACTGAACCCATCACAGAATTATCTCTTACATCTGTAATTCTGCAATGTTCCCAAAGAGCAGGGAAAAAACAGAGCTGCAGATTGTAAATAAAGATGAAAAAGTAAAAGTGGTAAAAACTTTCAAGCTAAACAATTAAAAAGTAAAATAAAGTATCCAAAAACAACATTAAAAAAATGGGATTTAAGAGAAGTAAACAAAATGTTTCATTTCAGAAAATTGTCTAAAAATTGAGTGAAAACTCTATTTTTCTCTTGGAACAGTGCAAGCAGGGTTCTGTCTGGTGACTGTGGTGTGGGCACAGGGGGCAAAATGTAAGTCCAAGGAGAAAATGGAGTTCTGAGGGTTGTTTTATCCAAAGGAGCCTCTAAATGAGCTGAGCACTGTGCACTGCATATCTAATATCAGTTAAAATTGAGAGTGTGCTGCTGAGGTGAGCAGATAACCCTGCGGTGAGCAGGAGCAGTGCTGCCCGGTGCTAGGCTGGGTCTGGGGCAGCTCCCCCTGGTACCCCACAGCCCGGCCACCCCTGCTCCCGGAGAGTGCCCCGTCATCGGACACAGAGCCCCGGGATGAGTGCCCCGTTATCGGACACAGAGCCCTGGGATGAGTGCCCCGTCATCGGACACAGAGCCCCGGGATGAGTGCCCCGTTCATGGGAATGGAGCCCTGGGATGAGTGCCCCGTTCCCGGACACAGAGCCCCGGGATGAGTGCCCCGTTCGTGGGGATGGAGCCCTGGGATGAGTGCCCCGTTTGTGGGGATGGAGCCCCGGGATGAGTGCCCCGTTCCCGGACACAGAGCCCCGGGATGAGTGCCCCGTTCTGGGCACAGAGCCCCGGGATGGGTGCCCCATTCCAGGGATAGAGCCCCGGGATGGGTGCCCCGTTCTGGGCACAGAGCCCTGGGATGAGTGCTCCATTCCCAGGACACAAAGCCCTGGGATGAGTGCCCTGTTCCCGGGAACTGAGCCCCGGGATGAGTGCCCCGTTCCCGGACACAGAGCCCCGGGATGAGTGCCCCGTTCCGGGCACAGAGCCCCGGGATGGGTGCCCCGTTCCGGGCACAGAGCCCTGGGATGAGTGCCCCGTTCCGGGCACAGAGCCCCGGGATGAGTGCCCCATTCCAGGGACAGAGCCCTGGGATGAGTGCCCCGTTCCAGGGACAGAGCCCCGGGATGAGTGCCCCGTTCCTGGGATGGGGGCTGGGGCCCTGACTCACCCATGGCAGCGGCAGCAGCTCCCGCACACGCCTGCAGCTCCGAGGCCTCCCCGGGGCCGCCGTCGCCGAGGGCCCTCACACGCAGGAACAGCTTCTCCCTGGCCTGCAGCCCCTGCACCCTGCACGAGGTGCTCTCTGCAGGGAGCGTGAAGCACTTGGTCCAGCTGAGGCTGTTACAGCGCCTCATCTCCACCTCGTAGCCTTTCACATCATTCCCATCTTGTACTTCAGGTTTGTTCCATGTCAAGGTGACACTGCTGCTGTCACTGCTGCTCACTTTAAGGTCCTGCACTTGGCCTGGAGATTCTGGATGGAGAAATTTTATTTAAACGATTTTTCTAGGATTTCTCTTCCCTCTTCAGTCACTGCCTGAGATTCCCCAACATTCTTGCTGTGCATTGGATTTCTGCCAAGCTGTCTTGCCCCACCTCGTCCAAGTTCTTCAGAGCTGGATCTAGGTCCTTGCTCCTGCCAGCCCTGCAGTAAATCCACAACATTCCAAAACACTCTGTGGCCCTCCTGAGTGTTCCTCCACACTGCATATTACCCCACACTGGGATCTGCCAAATTTTGACTTGGCCATTCTACAGGAAATCCTTCCATTCCTTCCTCCAGCTGATTCTCAGCCATGAAACATTCCCGAATTACTGATCCTTGTCTCCACACACTTTTATAGAGGATTTAAAAACATCTCTCCATGAATACCCTGAAAGCAGAGCACAGGGCAGGGCACTTACTGGTGGGGTCCCGGGCAAAGGCAGGTTCTGAGGGGTCACTGGGCTGTCCCATGCCAGCAGCATTGACAGCTGCCACGCGGAACTCATACTGCACACCCTTCTTGAGGCTGGTCACCTTCAGTTTCTTGTCTGAGGAGAGAGGAGAGGAGAGGAGAGGAGAGGAGAGGAGAGGAGAGGAGAGGAGAGGAGA